TTACTTTCGTTTATTTTTAATGGATTTAAATTATAGGTAGAAAAATTATTATTTGCAACAGTATTTTTCGTGATTTATGATCGCTACTTGAGTAGAAACTTCTATAGATTAATATAATTAATTTCATCTAGATTGATTTTACTTTTATGTTATTTCGTTTATTTTTAATAAAAGTGAAATTATAAAAAACAGGAGATCTTTAAATGAAAAAATTGTTTCGCGTCTGAGAAATTAATATTCCAGGTAATGAGTTCATTCGTGCTTCGGGGTTAATAAGTAAGCATTAGATTTTTCTTTCTATGAAATATTTTCAAAGCTGGATTTTTCATAATTTTGCAAAATATTTCCAACATTAAATTTTTTTGATTTGTAACATTTTTCTGAATTTAGTTTTCTCTTGATTTATAATAAATATACATGTCGAATCAAATAATAAAAATCAAATATTTTTTTAAGGCTATGCATTAGATTTTAAACCATTCGAACATAAAAGATTTTGGACTTGATTTTATTTAAGATGAGTATTTTAGTTAAAAATTTGCTTACAGCACTGATTTTATATCATATATCTAAATTGCTTTGTCGCATCAAGCTTCATTTGCATTTTTTTGCATCTAATTTCGTTGGATATAATCGATACATTTTCAGTCTCGCAATTTTTCTCGTTCATTGATTCGAAGACTTGATTACAGTTTTCGATTCAGTTGCATTTCTTTTCCTGACAAAACTCTGACATCTTATAAAATTTCAATAGAAAATTTTTCTACATAACATGCATTATATATACATGCATTATATTTATAAAGAAAGTTCATATGTAGGAATATATTAATTAAAAGAATTTTGCACTTAAGTATAAATTAAATATTCTTGTTCAAATCTTCTTATTCAAATTTTATGTCGCTTTTTTAATAATTCGCTTTAAATTCTCGCTTCAACAGATTATATTAGGTTTATATTTTAACTCATCTAATTAGAAATTCAATGCTATTATGCAATGACGATTCCATCACGAAGTATTTAAGTAATTCGTTTTTTAGAGAAAAATCGTTATCGAGAAAAAATTTAAAGACACGAAACTTATGCCTCAAACGAATAGAAACTTGAAAATTGCTTAACATGTGCGACAATTTAATCTCTATATAATATTGTATAACGTGATCCATTATTCTCCCCTAAATATCGTACTATTTAACCTAGATTCTGTTTGTCTTCACGAGTTGCTTTATTAATAAATTTCTCATGTATGTTAGATTCTGCCACGAATCTTTCATGATCTTAATTGAAAATAATTTTTAATTCTCATTATTGATTTACCAATAACAACAATCTTGAATAAATTAAATTAAAAGAAATCGAAGAAAATTTGATTTTGATAAAAATTTATGATTTTTGAGATATTTATTTCATCTTATGTTAAATTTTATCTCAATCATGTAATACAAAAGATTAAGAGATACTTATCATGTAAATTTTATAATGAAAATTAAAATTAAAATTACATAAATTATCGTGTTTTTATCTATAATTTGGAAAAACTTATTACAGTGTGATTTAAATTTTAGCTTCAAATTTCAAAATGTATTATCTTTAATAGAATAATATTTTTCCTGAATTTTCAAATGATATGCAAAGAAAAAATATCAAGCGATTGATTAATGAATATTTTTTGATCAATTTTTCTCATTAACGCATTGCAGTGCCATCTATCTTACCATCGATACTTCCAAAATACGATACCCGTTTTCGTTTCATGATTTTTGCGCCAAATTTATCGATAATTGGACAAAAACGGATGACGCTCGAACGCTATTTCCAGAGAAGTGAACTTTTAAACGGAACAAAAAACATTGGTGAAATCTTGGCAAGCATATTTCATCTTAAACGCTTTATCCGTTAAAATAGAGTAAAATTTTTCGTTAAAAAAAGTTCAAGATTTTAATTTGACGAGAAGAAAGCTTCCCGATTATATAATTTTTTGTCAGAAAAATTAAAACATACTTTCGACTTCATTGAAGGAAACTAGAAACTTTGAAATATAATTAAAATTTCATGTTTATACGTATTTCAATTTTTTTTTCTTTCAGATTCTTAATTAATTAATTAATAATAAAGTAGTTATCATTTGGTTAATTTAGCGAAATATATCATTATTCTTATTTCTAAAAAAAAAAAAAAAAAGAAAATGAAATTTGAAACTAATTTCACGTTTTATATTAGAAACATTATTTTATGGAATCAATAAGGATAGGCATTCGTCAGAAACTTAATTGGGCAAAAAAGATGAATATTATAAAATTAAGAAGAGGAGAATTAAATTGGAATTAAAATTGAAACAAATGAATATTAGAATTTAATATATTCAGACGACAATATAAATAAAATGTAAAGTAAGTAGATTTTTTATGCTGAAATATTACTTGTTTCCACAAAAGTCCCTTGAAATGACTGAACCCGTCACTCATTCTTTATTCAATCTCTGAGGGTAGACGTTCACGCTTCTTTTACACCATTCTTAATATTACTTAAATTTAAACGATTTATTTCGGTCATTTAATTTATAAAATTATTACTTGAACTTTAAATTCCTATATAATTTTATATAGGAGTTATTATATATAAATAATATGTAAGATTATTTTTCAAATATTTTTAACGCAATTATGCGAGATGAGTCTGATTCGAAATTCAATTTATTAAACTTTATTAAGATTTATATTTATTTTATCAATTATCTTATAAATTATTTATAAATTACTTAATTTTTTTCTATAGACAACAGTGGATTATTTATTATTTATTAACAAAGGCTCATCTCCTTGTCATACTTTGAAGTAGTCTCGAGTAGTATCTTCATCATGATAATAATTACAAACTTTTCCGACTGATTTCTTTCTCACTTCATTGTCAAAACTTTCATAACTTGCTTCCTCTTGATCTCGAAGACCGAATAAAAAGTTCAGAAGGGAAATTAAGAAGAAAGAAGAAGAGCCATTACATTTATCGAAGGTTTAATCATGGAAATTTAGCATTCTTTCCAGATAAAGATCCATTTCGTTCAATTAGATGAAAAACTTGGGAGATATTCATATATATTATAATCGCGATTGTCTTTTCAGATAAATTTCAAGATAAGCAAAAAACATTCTTGAGTGCTATTCAAAGAAAATTTTTGACTAGTTGAATATCGTGTTATTTAACTATCAATTGGAATAATTTATTTTATTGAAGATTTCACATTTGAATAAGTACAAATTTTCTTGTAGTATTTTATATTCTGTATAAATCACAAAAAAAATTATACATATAATTCAAATTAAAAGAAATTATTTAAAGATAATTTATTCAAAGATCTCAAAATTATTTGAATATAATTTATTAATACAAAATTATTCTTAAGTAAAAATAATAATTATATCATATTGAACGAGATATATTCGAGTTAGCCAAAAAATGATATGTTCAACGATGCTAAAATTTCGAATATAGGCGTGGTAACAGACTTCTGAGTCTTTCTTCACCTAAGTCTTTGAAGTAAATTGTAACCTTTGTGACTTCATTGTAGAAGAGATTCTTGACTTGGCTTTACGTAATTCCCATTCTTCCTTTAATTCTTCTTTTACCCTGATAGAACCTTTTGACTTCGAATGAAATTTTAATGTTGTACAAATCCTCTGATATTATAAACATAATTTAAAACTGTTAATGACGAAACATATGATTTCGTTATAATATACGATTTTATCTTATATTGTGCCAAACCATTCCATTATTGCGTGAAAAATGTCAGAATGAAACTTCGAGAGTTATTGTCGTTAAATGTCTACGAATTTTAATACGAAGTATATTAGAATGAAGAATATCTTTACAAAAACGTTATTTATTTAATATATAAAAAGTAAATAAATAAATGAATAACATTCTTCTTGCATAAAATAAAAATATATGGTGAAATATTTAAAATATATTTATTTAATTTAATTTAAGGTTTGAAATAATTGCCATATAAAAGATCTGAATGTACAAAATACGAATTTAATATGATTTGATCATTTATATACTGACATTTATGATTTCGATCCCAATTCTTCAAACATGTTCTTATTCGAAAATTATGGCTGATTAGAAATTGAAATTTGTGGGAAGATTGATCGTATAAGATACTTCTTCGTAAAATGAAGTGCAGCCTTTTATTTCATTCCGAAATTTTTTATCGAAATGGAAAGTAATCGTTCCAGAAGAAAGGAACTCTTTAAATGGATGATATGATAATATGATTCATACAGTGAAATCTTCGTGGATGAATTATGAGATGCGCAATCTGCGATAATGATATATTTTAGATAAATTATTAAGTTACACATGTATAAATTAATAGTTTATTATATTTCATTCTTAAACTTTTGATAAAACAATTTTAATTTTATTTAATTTAAAGAAAAAAATTAGTTCTCTTTACTTTCAATAGACACAAGAATCGAATAATTATTAATTAAATTTCATGCTGCTTATTGCAAAAAGTATAATTTCTATTCTTTATTAAAAAAAGATTAGTAGAGATATATTTAATATATTTTGCATAAATTAATATTAAAAGTTTAATTAAAAATGTTATGGGAAAAGTAGGTCGATCTCTGACAGTTTCAAGTTATTCTTGTTTCAATGATGAAATATTCTACTTAAAAAGTAGATTATTAGCAGATCTAATGAAATTCTAGTAAAATTTTAAAAAATAGTACACATTAAGTAGGAAAAAAAAATTAATATTTTTATTTGTTTTTTACGTTTTTTGTATGAAAATTCAAAGTTTTATTTATTATTTTATTTGATTACAATAATTCTAATTGTAATTGTGATATAAAATATACGAAGACATAATTTGCAATTTAATTTTATTATAATAATAAATATTATACCTTGATTTTATGTATGTATGTATAAACGAAGAAATTTTACATCGAAGAATATTCATTGAATAATCTAAGTTATATTTTTTTCAGAAAAAAGCATTGTAGATATCAACGTGATTTACTTCTCAAAAATGATAGAAGTTCCTTTACTACGATGTGTGAACGAAGGTTTTTGTCGTTAAATTCGCGTGGAAAGCGATTCTGGTTTTAACGTCTTAAGTTCCACACAACGACTCTGCAATTACCAGAAGAGCAATTTTTGCTGCTCACAAATGAATCCCTGCTACCTCTCGGTTCGTCGAATATTAAATATGAACTCTGTCATAGAGGGAATCTCTTCGTTATCGATAGCTATATTTTTATAAATAAATTCTCGTCAATTTGGTATTATTTCTCGATAAATTATAAAATATTTTTATTGATAAAACAAAATTACATAAAATTACATAGAATAGAAAATATTTTCGAATTTGAAAGATCAAAAAATTATTTCGTATTTTAAATAATATACAAATTAAATAATTTTGTATCAATTTAAATAATTTTTAATTTAGAAAATTGTTATTACACTAATTTTATTTTAATAGAAAAGGATTCGAAAATAATTATGAATTATGAATATATTATAAATTTTTTTTCTATCTCAAGCGTTGTTTCTCTAAATTTTTTGACAGAAAACTATAAATACTGTCACAAAAATTCTACAAAAATTAGGAAAATTTATTTAACTTAGATGATGTTCGTGCCCTACAAAACTGAATTAACCCTTTGGCTCTCAAATTTTTTATTTTTCCTTAAAATTCTAAAACGTAACAATTTTTTTCTATTAAATTGCAATTGACGATAAAAATAAATACCTGATGAACTATATATCTATTTTTCTACAATATATTTTTCTAATTTTCACTAAGTAATCCTCGAATAGCACATATATTTTCGCTGTACGTGTCATATACACGTAAAAAACGAACGTGTTGAAACGAAAATGTTAAGACAAATTTTCGAAAAACGGCTGAAACTATTATTATAGAAGACCAAATCGAAACATGTTTTCTTTCTTATAAAAGCATTTTATGACATTGTCCATCAGCAGTTGGAAATACTTGTGGCCCATGTTTCTTTCTAAATTTCTGCTTCCATTTTATTTTCCTCGATAAAGAAGCCGAGAATCCTATTTAAAGGAAAATAAATCCTGTAAAAAGGTACAAACTCTGAGGTATCGTTTAAATCCGAAGATCGTAAGTTTTCCACGTGAAAACGAGAAAATGCTATATTGCCGAATGATAAATTCAACGTATATAAAACGGTTTCTATCGATTTTGGATAAAAGCTTGAATCGGTTTCGGATAAAAAACAGCCGATTTAACTGGAACATTAACATGGATCCCGAATCTTAAAATTCAGATTATGACGTCACGAGAAAGAACTCGAGTTTAGTTAAAATTATAGTTTGGTCGAGGGAATCGGTTAATTATTCAAATATAAACTCTCTAAACGTAACAGGATGGCTGCAAGGATTTATAAAACGAGCGAGGAATTGTCTTCGCGTGGCATAGAATTTAAAAAAGAGGAGGCTTAAGAGGATTACTCGGTGGATATAAGGCTCGATTTTTACAATGATGGCGAAATTTAAAAGTTGCGATTATTTATTGAGAGAATTGCGAAATTCATAAAATAAATTTTGGATCTAAAATTGTGATCTCAATTGATCGATCAATTTTCAATGCTAACATATTCAATTCTCTCGAATTGAAAGTAAATTTTCAAAAATTGAACGCTGTCTTAACGTAAGCGACGATTCAATGATAAAATTATTCTCACTATGATTCAAATTCACGGACCATAATTATATCAAATCGTGAAATTTTGAAATCTCTGATTATTTCTTTGGAAAAAGTAATTCTCGTTTGCAAAAAAAGAAAGAAAGAAAAAAGAAAATAAATAAGTTGTGATTTAAGGGATGGATGGAGTAAAAATGGCGGAAAGGGAATAATAATCGTGGAAGTGTTATATAGATGTGACAGGCATAATCGATGATGGGGAAAATAAATGTTTCTCTTAGGACACTTTGCGGTATTTCTAGAAAGAACGGGCGGTAACTTTTGGATTTATGTTGTACACTTGCGTAATTATCTGCGTGTCGAGGGTGGGAAAAGGGAGGACCACAATGTTTGTGGCGTTTCTGGGGCAAAAACGAGTCGTAGATTTCAATGGTTGACAACTGTCACGAGTTTAGTTATACCATTAATCTCATGCACATTCATCTCTTACGAAAAATTTTTTGAATCGATACAAAATCCTTGTTTTTATTTTATTTTTCAATTTAAGTATAATGATTTGACTTGCGAAAGGAGTTGTGTGCACAATCATCGTTTTGTTCTTGATAAATTATTGTTGAGAGAATAAAATTTTCGAAAGAGAATCGAAAGGGAAATTTATTCTTGAATTTTTCAAGAAATGTTTCAAATACTAACTTTTGAATTTCAAAATGCACAATTTTCTTGGGAGCTAAAGTTGCAAGAGTTTTGAATCATTACCAACAGGTGGTGGAAAGCGAACTTCCACAGCAGCTGTTAGAAAATTTCTCGCCGATTCAATTCTTACGAGAACCTATTACGAAATTATTTAAGAATTCAATTTTATTCTTAACAAGGTGGCGTTATATTTTTTCCAATTTATTCTTATAATTTATATCTGTTGTTAATCGATAGAAATTAATAAAGGCCATAATCAATTAATTACAGTTGATCAATCATCGATTTTATTAAGAAGCAATTCATTTTTAAAGAAGAAGAATCAAATTCTTTTTAACAAGAAAATGAACAGAAATTTCGCAACAATTTTTTCCAGCAATTGTTTTCACGCTTTTGTCTCGCAATTTGCCATCTTTCCTCCCTTTTTTTCAATATTTCATTACTTTATAACGACTGCTTATAAAACTTTTTCCAACAATCGTTCATTCTCGTTCATTTCGTTGTTTCCAATTTTTTCTTCATATATATGTATGTCACTTCGAATGCAAAAAATTTTCCTAGTGACCGTCTTCGCGTTCATTTTGTCGTTTTCTATTCTTTCCATTCTTTTCTCTCCATTTTTTCTTTTCTTCTGTTTTAATATTCCGTTCTTGTATGCATATTTGTATCTCGTGCAGAATGCCTTATAAAAAGAGCAATTTTAATTTTTCGCTCGTGTATCGACAAGAAACTTTGTCGAACGAGAAAAATCAAAAAGATTGGCGTGAACAAATTTTTCAAAGATCATCGCATTGCGGGAAAAAATGCCACGTTTTCGAATCAACGAACGCTTATGTCGAAAATCAATTTCGACAACGCAAGAGAAAAATGCCCGAAATATTTCTCTGTCAATTTATTTTATAAGCGTGCGATTATATTTCTGTTACGGTAACGAAATATTTCGTGCAAAAATAATGTTCGACATTGCAATAATATTTTATTGTTGCTATAAAATATCATAAAATATTGCTATAATACATTATATATGTAGAATAAATAAGCGTGAAAAATTGGACTCTTCGAAAGGATTCAATATTGATATTTTTCGATCGACGTGAATTATTATTATTATTATTGTTATATATTAAATCGTCAAATATTATGAAAAAAATATAATCGGAAGGAACGAACGGATAACGGGTGAGCAAACAACGAAACAAATCCACGTAACACACAGATTATTCAGCATTGAGTTAAAAGCACGCTGTTCTAGAGTCAACATTTCGTATAAAAGGGCTCGTATTTGCACGAACGACGACATTTAATAATATACGAATCGTTTGACAGTATAATTCCAATTTGAATCGCAAAAATAGTTACTTTGAATGTGCGAGTGCAATCTTAAATTTAATTTTAATTTTAATCATCATTGTAATATCATGTAAATTCGATTGAATATCGGAATTTCTTTTTACTCGACATTTCAATTACATTAAACATAAATAATCAAGATTATTGTTAATGATATTTCATGGCGATGATTTCGTGCAAATTTACTCGCTTCGATTATTATCAATCGATGTTCGCATTCAACTGTTCTCAAGGGCCTCTCGGTATTATCGAACAACATGGTCGCGTTTGTAGAATTAATTAATAAGGGATGAAATTATGTGTTCATGAATCGATGATTGAGAAATTAACTGTCATTTTCTAGATTCTTCGCTCCTTCTTGATTCTTTAGAATTTGAATTCTTGGTTTGTGTGTGATTTGAAAGAGGATTGAGATTATTTCTATAGTGAAATTATTTTTATAGGAAATTTTTTAAATATAAAATTCTTTAAATGTACATTTTGATTTATTGTAAGGAAGATAAAATAATTGAAAATGATGAATCACATTGGAACTTGGATACAATTCTTGCCTAATATAATCAGTTTTTAAAATATAATTTCAAAAATGAACATAATATGCATGCCATATTTAAATTATCAATGGAGAATAATATTATTTCATTTTAGTAATTTCTTAAGTAACGATGAATGATTTTATTTCAAATTACATTTTATACAGACTTAACTATGGATTCAAAAAGTTGTAAATTATTTCTTTTGGAAACTGAAGTAAAAGAAAATTTACTTCAAATTTATGGTAATTTATACATGAAAATTATGACGATTCTTTTTCCCAAAGGTTTTAACATTCCTTTGAGTTTCTTAACGCGTTTTATATGTCCATTTTATTTGAAAATGTGGCCTGACTGAATGGCCACAATTTTATGCAACTCGCATAAAGCGAGCCCTAAAATTTCACGAAGGGATTTCCCTGTGAAACCCTTAACAGTTTCGAGGACAAAGCTTGTAACGTTTTATGTGGGCCACTATGTATACTTGGTCATATTACGCAAGATATATCGAGATTCTGATATATATTTCTTAGAAAAAAATAGGCTTTTTCCTTTTTGTTTATTACATATGAAAAACTGGAATATTTTCTCTGTAAGAGAAGATATACGATACTATCATCATCATAATATAACGATATTAATTATCAAATAAAAATATTTAATAATAGAATTTATTATATTTTTCCATCATCTCTTCTATCAATAATTCAAGTTTCAATGCAACATTGGAAATATTAAATAATTAAAAATTCTTTGTCTTAAACTTGTCTTTAATTCGTTACATTTGAATTTTTATATTTATATTCGAGCAATTAAAAAGTAATTAATGAAATAATGATTAACGAAATAATTTTTTCACGAAGAAGGAAAGAAAGAAAAGAAAAAAAGCGAAATTGCAATGCGCACAGGTTGTCTGCGGTTTCAATCTCGGAACAGGTCAATTCCGAAACATGACTAGTTGTTCCCGACATTTCCATCGAAACTTTCCAACGATTTCGTCGTACAAGCGAGCGCACAATGTTCGAATAATAGACTCCCGTTGAAATCGACTACTTTTCACGGATATCCATAGTTTTCGATCAGTCTGGAATGTCAATTCCGACGATAGTGGTCACAATTTCGTTAATAGAGGTATAAACTAGATAAATCATTCGATTGATTTTTCTTCCACATCGGATCTTGTTTCATTATCGTTATTTTTATTTTTATTTTCAATTTTTATTAGAAATGCAATGATTATTTTCAATCGTATTAATCGTATTAATTTTTTAACTGTGATGTGAGATTAC